CAGCAGGAAGGCTGATAAGAAATACGTTCACTAAAACAAAACAAAAAAACAGCTTACCGAATGCATAGAGTCTGTAATTTCATTTTTATGACAGGCGGATTGGTTCTGTACATCAATCGATCATTCCTCACTTTCAAAAACATGTTTTAGTTATTGAAAGTTCATGTGAAACCTGCACCCCTTAATTGAGATCGCTATAAAAACACTAAATTGTTGTAAAAGCTAACAGTATATATTTTCACACGAGGATGTAAGTTCTTCCCCAAGACTGTCCAACGGCAGTGCACTTTCAAAACATGTCGGTATTTTTAGCAAATGAAAAAGTAAAGTGATGAAGATGGTCAGTACAGTTGAGTTAAATATTCCTTCAGGACCACATTGTCGCATATTGTCGGGTATTGCGTGCTGCTAAGCTTTGAACAAAAACATCATTTCGTATTTATTGTCTAATTTGTTTGGTTTTACTCGCAATATTCAGTTTAGATCTTCGTCATTTCCAATGAATAAAAAATCACTTATTTAAAACAGACTTGCCCTAAAAGGCTAAGTAGATGTTAATTTTGATGCAATTTACAAGAAGCCATGGCTAATTGCGCTATAAAACTAACACTTGTTAACATCTGGGCAGGTCATGTCTTTTTCAAACTCACGGTTTTTAGAATGCCCTCTTATCAACATAAGGCATTTAATTTTTTTTGGCAAAGATGTCGAAAATATTCGTTTTATTATCTCTTTATTGGATTCATTTAACGATTAATAGCCATCTCCTACAGAGTAGCCGAGTATGAAAGAAAGCTACACTTTTCAACCGTGATTATATACTTCTAATTTTTTGCGCGTACTCTTTCGATATTGTGAAACTAATACAGTCATAATGCGTATAGAATCAAGACATGTCGACGCCAGTAGAGAAAACTAGAAAAAAAAAACAAACTTATGACGTGAAAAAATGGCCAAATAGGCATTCAATGTCGCTTGAAGATCAATTGAATAGCAGGTATCGTTTAGTTCTTTAAGCAGTTCTTTCTATTTCTACCCATACGTGACTATGTCGGAGGGTTGGCGGTTAAAAGCTGTTTTGACAAAAGATAGTTAGATTTCAGGCAATTTGAAGGGTTGAAAGCTAATATTTTGAAATAGAGCTTTATTCATTGTTACGGCTCAAGCTTAAATTCTTCATCTGAGAATGAAATGGTACAAATGTTTAAAATAACCAATTAAAAAAAATCCAAAATAAAATCAGAAGTTAAAAATGAGGTACACCTTGAAAAATATTTCAAATGTACCGATTCGCCTAATGAAAACACAAACATTTAAATGTTTTTTTTGTTTTGTTTTTTTTTTCCAAAAGAATTGAGGTGTGATAAAAAAGTTATGTCACTGGACCACATGTTTTACTCATTTTGAAATTTTCGTCCTCACAGGATATGTAAGTGGGAACCCTTGCTTAATTCTCAGGGTTCTTCCTGCATGTTTACCGAATCTTTTTTTTTATATGTGATATCCAAAAATTATGGTGAATATGATTAAGCCAAATCCTCACTGAAAGTGGGTCAAATTTTATGAAAGTTGCTTTTGTCTAGGTCACGTTATGTAAATAAAAGGAACGCCAAAATATTGTTAAACTGCAGGGCAGAAGAGTTGAGTTTTTCCACGAAAGATACTATTTAAGCCTTAGGCAAATATATGATTCGAATCGTGAGTTTCCCCAGCCAAAGATTAGTCGAAGAAAAACTCAGTTTTTGCCACACATAAATGCTCATGAGTCTCTCAGAGCAGTTCGATTCAGTTTAGGTTCATTACTTTGCCGCAAATCTAATATAAAATACAAACAATAACCTTCATTTGGTGCGAAATTATGGACGGATATTTGTTAACGCGCATTATTTGTTCCGAGAGGGGAACAGTTTCCGAGAGCGAAGCACGAGGATAACTGTGAGCTTCGAGGAACAAATAATGTCCAAGGCAAATATATAAAGGCAAGAAAATATTAACAGTTTATAATCTCTCGATAGAGAATATTACACGGTGGCGAGAAGATAAGAATTTATATGTTCGAGTAGCAAGAACGATATCTCACGACTAAGTGCAGCTAACAATATCGCACTCGTGTTACATACAAAAAGTACGCTTCTTGGTTCCCGGATGAAGTGTTCGCATCGATTCGACGAGTATTTTAGTTCTCGGAAAAACACTCACGTCCATCGAATAAACGAGCATATTTTCTCGCCAAATAAAGGTTGTTGTTTTTATTATACAATCTGAATTAAATATTTTAAGAAAATGAACGACAATTTTTCAAAACATGGTTCGACAGTTCTTCTGTCACCTTCAGTTCTGATTTATACAAAGTACAAAGTTGAATAAGTGTATAAAAAAAATGCTGATTGGAGAAAACAAACAATAGTAACAGAACAGTGGATGCAATTACAAGGAAAGTTTTAAATTAACATGATAAAGTTGATGATTAAGTTTAGGTTGCTCCCATTGAATGTGCTCCTATCCAGACCTATTAAATATTTATCATTTATTCATCAACGACCAAGTGAATATTGTTATATAATCCCCGAGACGGAACTCGAGGGAATTCTTCAACAATATTCGCTGAACCTGAGGAAAATAATCGTTTTCGTATAGTAGGTGAGGTGCTTTCGAATTTTGTTGTAAATTATGTTAATAGAGGAAACAATTAGTGTTCATGAGTTCAAATCCCGTACAGGCCTGAATTTATTTTCAGGCCTTTTTTTCACTATTGCTTGAGTAGTGTTCATTACTGTGAGGATCGCTTTCATATTCATCTCTCAAACCGGATTTTACATAAATGATTTTCATGTATTCACAGTCAGTCGAACCCCTTTGATACGGACATCGCAAGTACAGATTGCAGTATTAGTATTGGGAAAGTAGACGTCTCATAGAAGTCAACACGATGACGTCTCTTTTGCTGCTTCACCAACAGTTTACAGGCATCTACAAGTATTATTATACAGCACTGAGACAGATCTTTATGGAAAGAATGACATGAAGTGCAATGTTATGTTGCACCTAGAAATTTCATACTTAACTTCGTTTGAAATATTAAAAAAAAATTGTTCTCTATTCATCTAAGGCCCCGTCCACACGTATCTGGATACTTTTGAATCGGAAACTTTTCGTTGCGGTTTTGCCTTCCGTCCACGCGTATCCGGTGAATACGGATGATATATCCTATTTAAAAACGCTTCCCAGAGTGGATTTTTTCCAAAATCCGCATTGAATACAGCCTCGCGTAAACGGCCGAATCCTTATATTTTTGGAAACGCTGACGTAACGATATTAGATCCAATCCGTTTTCGCACAGATAATCTTTACCAATAGACAAGGCATCTTCTGGCAAGGGATATAGCTCAAGAAAGAGGTTCACATACCAGAGTACTTTGTTTGATTTGATTCTTAGTGATTTTGAGCACTAACTCGACTTCATCATGTGTCCAAATGAATGACTCTGCTTTGCCTTTCGTTTGTTTCTATCCTGATTGTGACATATTTCTCGTAGTAAGTCTTCATGACTTCCAAGCAACACATGTCGAATACAAACAAACACAAATGCTGCTTATATTTATCACAGACTCAAGTTTCTTGATAGTGCACATGCACCGTTGAAGAAAGCCTCGAGATATCCGGATACGTATCGGATACGTTAGGAAGGATTAAAACGATTCGAATACGATGCGTGTGAACACAATTTTTTTAAAAATCCCTCTCAAGATAGTTGCGGATTCAAAAATACCCGTAGAAGAGTGGACAGGGCCCATAGAAATGGTATGACGTACACCGACTGTCCTCAGAGGTTAGAGGTTCGACTATGTGAAGCGGTCAGTGGGTCACCAAGTTATAAAAGTTTTCAGTACCAAATAGACAATGATGGAAATGTAAATTCTCCTTCATTACTTAATAATTTAATGGACTCTGAGGTGGCTCCGCGACCTTTGAGTTGATTTTCATTTCCGTTTGAAAATGGAGGTCAAAACAAAAGTTGCAGAGTCACCTCAGATTCGGTAAAGTATTAATTTACTTTAATTAGGAGATATTCAATAATTGTGCACGTATAATAACATCGTGCATGCCATAGCGAATACCTGCTTTATATATCCTCGCTATGTTTAAATTAAATAGTACCAATCGGTTTAAAAGCAAACAGGGAGGCAGTCACGTGTCTCTTATTTCTATTACATGGAATCATTATTTCTGAAACCAAGTGACAAATATGAAGACTATTACAGTTAAATAAATTTACCAAAAAAGTCGCTTATAATGTGAGCGGGTTGGATTGGGCCCAGACTTAAGACAAAATAAGTATAGGCAATCACATGATTTCGAGTGCAATTTGGAATAAATTAGCACGAGTAAATTTTTTCAAAGACTAACAAAATTGCACGAGCCCGTAGGGCAAGTGCAATTTGTTGTCTTAAAAAAATTAAAATGTGCTTATTTATTCCACATTGCACGAGAAAAATCATTTGATTACGTAATAATAATAACCATGAAAAAAATACGAGATAGCTCATCATAATTATGTACTAGCAAAGCTAATAATCATGTGTTAAGCTGGGTCCCTAAAATTCCTTTTTCCAAACCGACAACCAAAAAGCAGTGCTTTTTACAGTGTTTTCGTTGTTAGAGCTGTTTTTCAGCTGCTGTGTTGTCGTTTCGGTGGCGAAAGAAAATCTATTTAAAACGCCGGCCATTGTTTCGCTCGCAAATTTTCAGCGTATCCAAATGTTGCGACATCCATGGCTCGCATTTGAGTGGCTATCTGTGAGTTTCTTCTAGTATTGACCAATCAGAATATCTGGTTTGTTACCTCTTTGCACTGAATTAACCCTCAGTCTTCTGCATTGAATTACCTGAAAACCGCACTTATCTTAACCAATCAGAACTGAGTAATTTTTCATGTGTATTATTAAAAAAAAAAGGACTGAAAGCCCAGCTAGAAATTATCTCTTCACTAACCTCCTAAACTACATCTCTGTCTGACTATCAAAATGAGCGTATGGTTTAATAGATTGATGACGTGTTACATTCATGCAATATGTTTTCGTGTTGATAACGTAGTTCTCGAGATTCTGCCTAAAATCTTCAAATAAGGGTTGATTTCTGTAAACTAGAGGAGCTTCCTCTCGAATTGTGTCGATGTAGTCTCTCCAGTATGTGTCTATTTCCTTTAAAGACTTTGGGTATGAGCGATGGGCGGGATTACCCGCAGTAACAGGCACAAACATCAATGCCTGACCTCGAAAAATCAGTTCGACGGCAGTAAACATGTACCTATGCAGCGACCACCAGCTTATTTTTTCATACTGCGTGCGGTAAGGGAAAAGATGCTTAATAGATTTATAATGATATGCATTGAAGAGACCATCGAACCATACTGTTGGTATCACAAGGGGACTGTCCGTCTTGTTACATATTGTCCGACCTTTCTCAATGGCCCAGATTGCCCCATAATGCTGTTGATTATCCAAAACGCCTACAACAGGCTCATAATCAAGAAGCCAGTGTTCGAAGACTCTAAACGGTGGATGCCTCCTCATTTCTGGCGGAGCGAATGAATTGAAACGAAGCACCACATCGTCATCCAGAAAAATGTAATAAAGGTATCTCGGGAATCTTGCTTTCACAGCAAAATACAGCACATTTCGTCCTGTTCCCCATCCAGTATTGGGATCGAACAGATAAGTGATGTGAGGCGTCTTTTGCACTTGGCATTTTGTTCTAAAGCTTAGCACTATGACATCACAGTTACATGTCTCGGGGTCGCCGATCTCGGAGGAAGAGGCCAAGGTTGGAGGAAGACATTGCTCTGTTTGAGTGAGATAAATGAAAATCTTTGGAGATGAATTCTCTGTCGTCTTTTCTGTGGCATACGCTTGAAATAGAACAGCATTTTGACTGATTACTGTACCTACGATAGACAAGATATCGCAGTTTATTTTGAAGTATAAGCAATCCAAAATAATATGGTTTAATCAACTGAGTTGATAATGTAAATTGGCCACCGTAAAGAGTTTCAAAGCTGACGTTTCGAGCGTTAACCCTTCGTTACAGACTGCATTCTAAATATAGACAAATGACCAGATGAAACTGAACCGACTAACTAACTTAATGGAGGGGGTAAGTTTCAAACTGTGGTGCTCGTCGGTGGGGGGGTGTATTTAGGTAATTTGGTCTTATCATGGATAATAACTCTAGCTAAGATAAATATCTAGAAATTCAGATATAGAATGCTTAGTCATGCTGACTTGCATACAATGGAAATCTCTACAAAATTTGATTAGGTCATATAATTATGATGAAATACTACCAAAATACTCATGTTGTAAGCTTCCGGAGTGTTCTAGAACACTTTGCAGATGTATTATAGGGACTCAGTCGTGTAGTACTAATACTTGTTGTTGTCGGGAGTGACCAACTGCTTGGAGACCTTACTGAGAGAGAGCCACTGTGGAGATTGTTCATTTCAAGGACCTTTGGAGACAATTGTGTTTGTGCTAAGTCATAGTTTGCAGTGGGTTCAAGTAAGTTTATATAGAATAATCACTGTATTGTCTAGTGGCGTCGCTCCTAAATAAGAATATTGCTCGTCGTTTAATAAAGTAGTTGTCCAAGTTTACAGGATTGTAGTGTTCTTTCTGTCGATGGAAGCATACCATAAATATTGATAATGTATATTGGCCACCGTAAGGAGTTTCAAAGCTAACGTTTCGAGCGTTAGCCCTTCGTCGGAGCGTATGGAGGAATTGCAGGCTGTGCGTGTGTATAAAAGCAGGAAATGGAGCTACGCTATTGTTGGGAACATGGTAACGAGAAAATCTAGAAAAATTGGTAGATACTGAGGTGATTAAGAATGCCGATTTCCAAGATAAATTTTTGTTCCATACAGGAAGGAGGGTGTGTCTACAAGGTAAACATTGTTTGAGACGCCTCTGCCAGTATGACGTCACACACTCACGCATTTAGAGATTTCCAATATTCAATTCATGAGAATTCCAAAATCAGATTGCAAGTCGTGAGGGGTGTATTTCATTTTATGCTGTTAAAACAGAATTTCATACCTCTTCTCATGCAAAATATATTTCAGTAATTTAAATCAAAGGCAGATTGTAACATAAAGGTTTACCACCACATGATAACAAATATGGATTACATGTTATCTTAAATCAACTCTCCCCTTGAAATTTCAAGTCTGTCACAATTGCAATAGTAAATATGTGGACTTTGCTGATTATGTCAAAAAAAGACATAGTTGTCACCAACTTTTTTTTACCAAGTCGTCATTCTGAATAGAAAACTTGGATGATGAAATTCAACAATTTTTGTACAATAAAAGCACAACAGCAATCCAAAACAAAGATGCAATAGGGGTATTTCTAAAGTGTATTTTGAGCCTTTATCAAAGCCTTTTCCTATCACCATTATAGCACCTAAGGTCACAAGAAATGTATGACAGGACTGATGTGGTCTAACTGATACCGAGTAAACATAAGTAGATTAAAGCTCAAGTTCTAATATGAAGTGATTAGTTGCACATAATTTTTAACCAAAATGCCATAAAAAGCAAGAACAGATTATCATTCTGGATAGAACAATTTTGAACTTTTTAAAGTCCAAAAATGGCCCGTAACTGGAAATTTGAATGGTGGCTGTTTATGTCAAATAATAAAATGAAAAAGTAAAAATAAAAAAGATTCCAAAGTGATAACATCGAGAAGTAAGAGTGTCTCAAATACACAGTCACGATATAGTTGTGCAGTACTTCAATATTTGCTCAGCCCTTTATACTCTTATATCAGTATACATATTCTCCTTACTGTTCTCAATAACTTTTTTCATATCCTGATGATGAGAATTTGTTTAACAATCAATACCTTTAGTCGGTGATCATTTCCTTTACTTGTGACCCAAAAGTGTGATTCAGGGGTGATATTTTAAGGAGAAATTAGATCCCAATCACTCTTGGGGTTAAAGGGTTGAACAAACCCTGTATACAACTTTCCAAAAAAATCAGGGCAGTGTAAATGGGAAGGCTGAAACAAAAATAAAAGGTTTGACTGCTCAGTGTTTTGAAAAAAGAAAAAAACTTATATTGTGTTTACTTTATGTATTTTCTGTTTGCATTCCTCTAAGAATATTGTAATTTTTTAAATTTACTTTAAGGATTTAATTTACTTTTTTTCTACTTCTTGATTCTTTTGCAGACTATATCACTAAAATTGATTATTGATGTTTTAAAATAAATATATATTTTCCAATGAGAGGCAAAAAATAAGCCAACAACAGGAAAATGGAAATATACACAGGAGGTCACACATACAACACAAACCAACTAAATAATAGACAAGTCTTTGGCAATCACAAATTTACAAAACAAACAAAATATATAAACAGCCCTCGGTGATCACCGAGCCAGCAGCACATATTAGCACACCTTTTGCAATCAATAATTTACAACACTTGCAATCAGCAGGTTACAGCACAAGCGAAGATAAGTCAAATAGAGGAGCTCACAGAGTTCCTACAACACAAGATCTACAAGCCGAAAAGAAAAACGTGGCTCACCACTATCCAATACAGATTAATGAAGTAACACCTTTAAAATTAAAAGGATTGATGAGCAAAATGACCGATAAGATTGAACCTAATTAACATGTGGTACAAACTCATAAAATAAGGGGAAAAAACCTCCATTTATTGGGTCGGTTTGTTACAAGCTTACAGAGGAAAAGACGTTAGTTTTGATACGCTCCGGATCATTATGGCGGTCAGCGGACTTCCCTGAAATGTTATAATCAATGAAATTACACACAATCACGTTCACGAAATAGTAAACAGTTAAACTCACAGACTGTAGATACACTGGCAAACCTATCGCATGGACGGCAAATTAGTTAATAATAACGCAATCTAGCTTATATTGACCTTGTCGTAGCTAACTACTTATAGCGTCCCTCGCTAAACTGAGCAAACCAAACAAGCGCCTCATATATTTCTAAGTGACGTCATACTGGCAGCGATCATTCGACGCCGGCTCATGATATGAAACAATGGAGTCACCCCTCCCTCCTGGATTGACAAGCGACTGGATCGGATGAGTCCTTGTCATTCCTTTTAATTTAAATTATCAACTCAGTTCATATGACCAAATTATCTTGACTAACTAACTGACTAACTGGCTTACCGACTAACTATTATCCACTATCAAAATTTTGAACTCAGTTGATAAAATCAAATTATTTGTATGTCGAGGTAATTTGATATTGTCAACTGAGTTGATAACGTAAATTGCCACCGTAAAGAGTTTCAAAGTTGACATTTCAAGCGTTAATCCTTCGTCAGAGCGAATGACGAAGGGCTAACGCTCGAAGTGTCAGCTTCTAAACTATTTACAGTGGCCAATTTACGTTATCAACTCAGTCGATAAAAAGGAATCACCCTGTAACACTTTCTTACCGACACAGCACCACAGTTTTCTAGAAACTTACCCCCTATAAATATTTGGATATCAGTTTACTGGGAAGAAACGTCACGCTATGGATTTATCGAATTGGCTGAGAGGACTTAAACAAACTTTGACAAAAACCTTCATTGTTGTTAAAAGTAGCGGATCATTATACCTTTTATTCTTTATGAGAAATCAAAGAAAATAAAAAAATCGCAGCTTAGTTCGGACGTGTAGATATAACGTCTCTGTACTTGTCGTCCTTCGAATTTTTAAGCTTTCGCAGGCTCAAGAGAACAATTTAAATTGGATTACAACTCACTTCAAGTTCGTTTTCAAAATGGTTTTGGTTTTGGGAGTGTTCTTGATTAAAAACGCTGAGAGCACGAGTCATGTGTTGTACATTAAATGCCGTAAATTGTTTCCAACTTGTTTACTTACCTACTATATTGTTGTTTTTGTTTCTGGTCTGTGTTCTCTGTTGTCTGAACTCGGCTTTGTACGAAGCGTAAAGGAAAAAGGCGGTCAAAAAAACGATTAAAATCAAAATTACAAGGTTATTTCTCGTTCTATGAATCATTTTTTGGAACTGCTAAGAGTCACTACGTTCAGCTTGCACGTTTAGGCCTGGGAAAACAAACAATATTTCGCCCTTGTGGGAGAGGAGATATTGGTTCCCCACGATATGCAGTGGATCAGAAAGGTGCAATATAATTATAAATGCTTGTCTGAAGAGACAAAAGATTGATATGATCTACTTCTCTTTTGTTTGTGCGGCAGCGTACGGACTGAGAAACCAACATAATGGTTATTCAAATAGACTTCACAGGCGAGCTTTTGTAACTGAAAGTTCCAGTAGAGCGTAAAAGTTTCGACGCAAAATCTCCGAAAAAATTATATGGAAGAAAAAAGAACTTTTTTGTAGAGTCCGATTGAGAGTGATATTAAAGAGCTAATCTCAAATGCTGTCCAGCTAGAATAAAAACGTCAACATAATATCCTGTTTACGCGCGATGCGAAAATTAAATGGAGCGTTATAAAATAGAAAGAACGCCTTCAGGCGGCTGGTATGTCGGCTGATAATGTCTACGGCTA